GGTTCAGTTAACTGTTCAATAGCTTGTGCCTACACAAAATTGACTTTCACTAATACACACAGAGATATTTTATATATATATATATATATATATATATATTTATAGTTACAACAGCTATAATATTTGCAAAAAGACAGTGACCCTATGGGGAATACAAATCAAAATGGCCTACTCATACAGCAAGACTAGAAATCAAAAATGGCAGCATACATAAAGACTACATAAAAAAATGGCCACATCATAGAACAAGACTACAAACAAGATGGCTGCCTAATAAAAAATGGCCGCTTCATACAGCAAGACTACAAATCAAAATGGATGCATACAAAAAAAGACTACAAACAAGATGGCTGCCTAATACAAAATGGCCGCCTCATACAGCAAGACTACAAATCAAAATGGACGCATACAAAAAAAGACTACAAACAAGATGGCTGCCTAATACAAAATGGCCGCCTCATACAGCAAGACTACAAATCAAAATGGACGCATACAAAAAAAGACTACAAACAAGATGGCTGCCTAATACAAAATGGCCGCCTCATACAGCAAGACTACAAATCAAAATGGACGCATACAAAAAAAGACTACAAACAAGATGGCTGCCTAATACAAAATGGCCGCCTCATACAGCAAGACTACAAATCAAAATGGACGCATACAAAAAAAGACTACAAACAAGATGGCTGCCTAATACAAAATGGCCACTTCATACAAGACTACAACTCAAAATGGATGCATACAAAAAAAGACTACAAACAAGATGGCTGCCTAATACAAAACAATGACAACAGAAGTATACACAATGCTGTAACGATACGATCAGAGTTGTAAATTACATGAGATGTAGATTGATTATAGATTACTCGGATAGAAACAAATGCAAATATAGAAGAAATTACAAAGTATTTGGAAACAATCAAAGATATATAGCATTCGAATGTCACCAGACCAAATGATGTTGGTTATAAAAGCATTATCTATCGATGTTGTAGACAACCATTAATCGCACACAGCAGATTAACAATCAGTGTTCTCTCTCTCAGTTGTGTTTGTAAAGCTTCGTGAACTGATGTGAAATTTTCAATCATTTGTGTTTGCAAGTCACGCAGACGAATCTCTATTGCTTGATGTAAATTACCTTGAAGCTTATGAAACCTGGCATCCATGCGATTATTAAAGGCAGTTTGTCTGTTATGCAGTTCACCGAATAGAGAATCTTGCCTATCAAACAGCTCGTGGAGCAAAGAGACGATTCTTTCATCTACACTATTGTTCTGCTCTGGCTGTGATTCAATGTCCTCCTCGGACGCATCGTCACCAGCTGATGGTGTATGCAGACCCCTCTGCGACGAATTGCCACTGTGATCACTTCTCCAACTGGCTCTTTCCCAGTCATTTATTTGTGTATCGGTCCAGTTAGCAAAAAGACTACAAACAAGATGGCTGCATAATACAAAATGTCTGCTTCATACAGCAAGACTACAAATCAAAATGGATGCATACAAAAAAAGACTACAAACAAGATGGCTGCCTAATACAAAATGGCCACTTCATACAAGACTACAACTCAAAATGGATGCATACAAAAAAAGACTACAAACAAGATGGCTGCCTAATACAAAACAATGACAACAGAAGTATTCACAATGCTGTAACGATACAATCAGAGTTGTAAATTACATCAGATGTAGATTGATTATAGATTACTCGGATAGAAACAAATGCAAATATAGAAGAAATTACAAAGTATTTGGAAACAATCAAAGATATATAGCATTCGAATGTCACCAGACCAAATGATGTTGGTTATAAAAGCATTATCTATCGATGTTGTAGACAACCATTAATCGCACACAGCAGATTAACAATCAGTGTTCTCTCTCTCAGTTGTGTTTGTAAAGCTTCGCGAACTGATGTGAAAGTTTCAATCATTTGTGTTTGCAAGTCACGCAGACGAATCTCTATTGCTTGATGTAAATGACCTTGAAGCTCATGAAACCTGACATTCATGCGGTTATTAAAGTCAGTAAAGAAATCCGTTTGTCTGTTAAGCAGTTCGCCGAATAGAGAATCTTGCCTGTCAACCAGCTCATGGAGCAAAGAGTCAATTCTCTTGTCTACACTATTGTTCTGCTCTGGCTGTGATTCAGTTTCCTCCTCGGACGCATCGTCACCAGCTGATGGTGTATGCAGACCCCTCTGCGACGAATTGCCACTGTGATCACTTCTCCAACTGGCTCTTTCCCAGTCATTTATTTGTGTATCGGTCCAGTTAGCAGCATATTCCGCAATGCGGGACGATCTGTCTGAAAAGAATAGTAATTTAAATAATTAGTATATGAAAATCACGACAAATCTATTCATTTTTTAAATAACTGTTTGAATATAATATTATCTATCACTGCTTTAAAGATTTTCTTGGTTAAATAATAAAAGTATGAAAAATTATAATCTAAAAATAAATATGAAAAGCATACCTTGAATTATCTCAGGTTCGGTATCATCGTTTCGGTCAGGCTCTGATGATCTATCTGAATAGAATAAACAGGGGTTAAACATTGTCAAGACTTTAAAAACCACATGACTATTAAACATTGTCAAGACTTTAAAAACTACATGAATATGAAATAATTAGTAAATCTAAATTGGAATCTAGAAAATAGTAAAGGGGAAATTAGCTAATGAGATTATTGCTAGATAAATCAGAACAAAAATTGCAATAGCAAGACTGAGCCAAAAGATGGCGACAAAGTAGCTTTACCAAAATAGATCGGTCAAAATAGAGCAGTCTTATTAAAAATAAATATAAATAAATAAATAAATAAATAAAAAATGTAATAAACATATCAAGACTGCGCGACAAGATGGCAAAAAAGTTGCTTTACCAGCTAAAGCATATGTATTAAAAAATAATATAAAGTTATCCAGTTAGCTTATGTTAAATAAAAATAACTATCTATTGAAGAAAAAACAATATTAAAAATGTACTGTTGTTTCTGTTGTTTGTTGGTGCCGGAATGACCTGGGCGATCGCTCTTTTTTTTCTCAAGGGGCTGTGTGCTGGATGTGCTGGATTGTTAGTGGTGCTGGGACCCGCCTGTTCATCGGATTCATGTGTGACATCAATAAAATTTGGTTGCGTTATTAACTGGAGCAGGTCTAGAAAATTTTAGACAATCATTTTCTGCTGTAATTATTTGAAGCAGTGGAACAGTATTTAGCTATAGCTTAGCAACCAAAAACACACGCCTCTCCACGAGGACACCCCACGCTCAAAATGAGATAAGAAAAAAAAGAGAAGTTTTACTTTTTAAAAGTATAAAACGTTTACTTTACCATTTTGGGAACCCTTTTCATAGATCAGCTGCATATCCGCTAGAAATAAAAACAAGATCATTTGTCTGATGTAGATATTTAAAAATTATCAACGGATACATAGCATTACTAAGAATGCATATTACATCTATCACGTGGCTCTGCGTTAACGCCGCCGCCCTGCATACAAACCCTAAGAAAAGTTTAGTTTTTCAAATGATAAAAACGATTACTTTACCGTCTTGTTCATCAGCCAGCTGCGCGGTCACTACAAATAATAATAATAAAAAGCATTTTCAGCTGTAATTATTTGAAACAGTGGAACAGTATTTAGCTGTAGCTTAGCAACCAAAAACATGCACCTCTCCACGTGGATGACCCACGCACACAAACAAAGCCAAGAGAAGTTTAATTTTAAAGTATAAGATGAATATTTGTACCATTTTGTGAAACTTCCCCGTCAATCAGCTGTACATCCGCTAGAAATAAAGACAAGATCATTTGTCTGATGTAGATATTTAAAACGATCAATGGATGCATAGCATTACTAAGCAAACATACTACAGCCAACAAGTAGCTCAGCGTTAACGCCTGGACTATCCGTGCAAGACAAAGGAAGAACGAATCCCAACAAAAAGTTTAATTTTTTAATTATAAAAACAATTATTTTACCGTCTTGTACATCAAGCAGCTGGGCAGTCACTACTAAATAAAAACAAATAAAATCATTTTCTGCTGTAAAATAATCTGCGTATAAACATAAGATAAGAGATAGAGACTTACACTTATCAATTTGGCTAAAAGCATTTCTTTCCGTGCTACCTACAAGATATTAAAAAACTAGTAGTTTAAAACTATTGAAATACTTTATATCAATTGAGAGCGGTTGAAAAACGACTCATCACCTATTTACTCAGACTTTAAAAACAGAGTAGTGCTGTTGTCAAAAAGACAGTGACCCTATGGGGAATACAAATCAAAATGGCCTACTCATACAGCAAGACTAGAAATCAAAAATGGCAGCATACATAAAGACTACATAAAAAAATGGCCACATCATAGAACAAGACTACAAACAAGATGGCTGCCTAATAAAAAATGGCCGCTTCATACAGCAAGACTACAAATCAAAATGGATGCATACAAAAAAAGACTACAAACAAGATGGCGGCCTAATACAAAATGGCCGCTTCATACAGCAAGACTACAAATCAAAATGGATGCATACAAAAAAAGACTACAAACAAGATGGCGGCCTAATACAAAATGGCCGCTTCATACAGCAAGACTACAAATCAAAATGGATGCATACAAAAAAGTCTACAAACAAGATGGCTGCCTAATACAAAATGGTCGCTTCATACAACAAGACTACAAATCAAAATGCATGCATATAAAAAAACTACAAACAAAATGTCTTCATGACAACAGAAGTATTCACAATGCTGTAACGATACAATCAGAGTTGTAAATTACATCAGATATAGAATGATTACAGAATATTTGGAATACAAACACATGCATATATAGAAGAAATTACAAAAATAAAAAAGCATTCAAAAGCGTAAAAGCACACAGGTGTAACTTACATCTGATATAGAATGATTACAGAATATTTGGAATACAAACACATGCATATATAGAAGAAATTACAAAAATAAAAAAGCATTCAAAAGCGTAAAAGCACACAGGTGTAACTTACATCTGATATAGAATGATTACAGAATATTTGGAATACAAACTCGTGCAAATATAGTAGAAATGACAAAGTATTTGGAAACAATCAAAGATATATAGCATTCGTGTCATCAGACCAAAAATGATATTGGTTATAAAAGCATTATCTATCGATGTTGTAGACAACCATTAATCGCACACAGCAGATTAACAATCAGTGTTCTCTCTCTCAGTTGTGTTTGTAAAGCTTCGTGAACTGATGTGAAATTTTCAATCATTTGTGTTTGCAAGTCACGCAGACGAATCTCTATTGCTTGCTGTAAATTACCTTGAAGCTCATGAAACCTGGCATCCATGCGGTTATTAAAGTCAGTAAAGAAATCCGTCTGCCTGTTAAGCAGTTCGCTGAATAGAGAATCCTGCCTGTCAACCAACTTGTGGAGCAAAGAGACAATTCTTTCATCTACACTATTGCTCTGCTCTGGCTGTGATTCAGTTTCCTCCTCGGACGCATCGTCACCAGCTGATGGTGTATGCAGACCCCTCTGCGACGAATTGCCACTGTGATCACTTCTCCAACTGGCTCTTTCCCAGTCATTTATTTGTGTATCGGTCCAGTTAGCAGCATATTCCGCAATGCGGGACGATCTGTCTGAAAAGAATAGTAATTTAAATAATTAGTATATGAAAATCACAACAAATCTATTCATTTTTAAAATAACTGTTTGAATATAATATTATCTATCACTGCTTTAAAGATTTTCTTTGTTAAATAATAAAAGTATGAAAAATTATAATCTAAAAATAAATATGAAAAGCATACCTTGAATTATCTCAGGTTCGGTATCATCGTTTCGGTCAGGCTCTGATGATCTATCTGAATAGAATAAACAGGGGTTAAACATTGTCAAGACTTTAAAAACCACATGACTATTAAACATTGTCAAGACTTTAAAAACTACATGAATATGAAATAATTAGTAAATCTAAATTGGAATCTAGAAAATAGTAAAGGGGAAATTAGCTAATGAGATTATTGCTAGATAAATCAGAACAAATAATTTTAAAAAATAAAAATAAAATTGCAATGGCAAGACAAAGTAACTTAAGGATAAGTTTGTGTACTAAGCATGTGTCCTAAATAAAAACATAAAGTGATCTAATTAGTTTATGTAAAAATTAAATATATCAATAACGAAATTGAGAAATAAATGAAAAAAATAGTTAAAAACGTATTATTAAGTTTATTATAACCATTTTGAAGATCTATATACCAACAAAAATTGCAATAGCAAGACTGAGCCAAAAGATGGCGACAAAGTAGCTTTACCAAAATAGATCGGTCAAAATAGAGCAGTATTTTTAAAAATAAATATAAATAAATAAATAAATAAATAAAAAATGTAATAAACATATCAAGACTGCGCGACAAGATGGCAAAAAAGTTGCTTTACCAGCTAAAGCATATGTATTAAAAAATAATATAAAGTTATCCAGTTAGCTTATGTTAAATAAAAATAACTATCTATTGAAGAAAAAACAATATTAAAAATGTACTGTTGTTTGAATCTTCTCTTGGTGCCGGAATGACCTGGGCGATCGCTCTTTTTTTTCTCAAGGGGCTGTGTGCTGGATTTCGGGTATTGTTAGTGGTGCTGGGACCCGCCTGTTCATCGGATTCATGTGTGACATCAATAAAATTTGGTTGCGTTATTAACTGGAGCAGGTCTAGAAAATTTTAGACAATCATTTTCTGCTGTAATTATTTGAAGCAGTGGAACAGTATTTAGCTATAGCTTAGCAACCAAAAACACACGCCTCTCCACGAGGACACCCCACGCTCAAAATGAGATAAGAAAAAAAAGAGAAGTTTTACTTTTTAAAAGTATAAAACGTTTACTTTACCATTTTGGGAACCCTTTTCATAGATCAGCTGCATATCCGCTAGAAATAAAAACAAGATCATTTGTCTGATGTAGATATTTAAAAATTATCAACGGATACATAGCATTACTAAGAATGCATATTACATCTATCACGTGGCTCTGCGTTAACGCCGCCGCCCTGCATACAAACCCTAAGAAAAGTTTAGTTTTTCAAATGATAAAAACGATTACTTTACCGTCTTGTTCATCAGCCAGCTGCGCGGTCACTACAAATAATAATAATAAAAAGCATTTTCAGCTGTAATTATTTGAAACAGTGGAACAGTATTTAGCTGTAGCTTAGCAACCAAAAACATGCACCTCTCCACGTGGATGACCCACGCACACAAACAAAGCCAAGAGAAGTTTAATTTTAAAGTATAAGATGAATATTTGTACCATTTTGTGAAACTTCCCCGTCAATCAGCTGTACATCCGCTAGAAATAAAGACAAGATCATTTGTCTGATGTAGATATTTAAAACGATCAATGGATGCATAGCATTACTAAGCAAACATACTACAGCCAACAAGTAGCTCAGCGTTAACGCCTGGACTATCCGTGCAAGACAAAGGAAGAACGAATCCCAACAAAAAGTTTAATTTTTTAATTATAAAAACAATTATTTTACCGTCTTGTACATCAAGCAGCTGGGCAGTCACTACTAAATAAAAACAAATAAAATCATTTTCTGCTGTAAAATAATCTGCGTATAAACATAAGATAAGAGATAGAGACTTACACTTATCAATTTGGCTAAAAGCATTTCTTTCCGTGCTACCTACAAGATATTAAAAAACTAGTAGTTTAAAACTATTGAAATACTTTATATCAATTGAGAGCGGTTGAAAAACGACTCATCACCTATTTACTCAGACTTTAAAAACAGAGTAGTGCTGTTGTATATATTTCCACTCACCATGGCGGTCCATATTGATTGCAGGAACAAAAGAATGAGTCTTCAAAGCCACGAACAGGAAATTATATAAACAAAGATTTTACACATTTTAAAACCCAGGTGGGTAGTAGAAGTTTTATCACACCATGGAGACCCCGCCTTAAGGTATAGCCATAAATATCTCTGATAAATATTGACTTGATAAATGTTTAGATTTTAAGGATAAAAATAACGTATTAAAGGTAACGAGAATAATGAATATTTGTTTTAATATTGAATGCTTCAAGTATATTATTCGATATTAAAATTGGCAATTCTCACGAAGGTTGTAATTTTATAAATAACCACCAGAGGGCATCCAAGCTCTATGGTATATCTCCTCACACTGCGGATGTGAAAACACGGCCCATCCTGATTTGTAACACCAACAGTGATACTTAATCGCATATAAAAGTCTCAAAATTTGTTATCGTTTTAACTAACGACAGAGAAACTATCAGAGAAATATAGATCCATGACTAATGAGAAATATTTGCTCTTGTCTCTGTACCATATGTGAAAACACGTTAATGTGTTTTTCGTGGCCTTTTGAACTCTGTACCATATGTGAAAATAGTTTAGGAATGCCCTCATTACAACCGTGACAGAAGACAATATTTTTTCATCGAAAAGACCTGTCTCTCAGATAAACATCTAAAAAATAGAGGGGGTAACTTTTTGTCTTTCAAGCAGATCCGTTTTCAGTGTCGCACCCCTCCCCTTTCAAAAGTCGCAGCGGGCCGAAATGACAGGAGCAGTGGGACGCGACACACACACACACACACAAACACACACACACACACACACAGCCATGATCACACAGGCGGAGGGGGAGTGAGATGGTGAGGGGGAAAGAGACGATCTCAAAGAAAGATTTCTTCTTTCATTTTAAACCACACAATTTCAGTATTCATTTCATTTTAAGAATCGCGATGCTTGCACGAGGAAGACTTTCTCTCCCTGAAAAATGTAAAGCAATTTATATTTTTTATTGATTTATTTTCAATTCATTCATATGCTGAGAAACTTTTTATTCAGTATTATATTGTAGGAGTACACACACACACACATATTGTGATACGATGTCGCAATCTGTTAGAATTGTTTATTCTGTTTATTGTTCATCAACACGTCCTTGTTTTTCTCCCATAGAGAGAGAGCGAGAGAGAGAGAGAGAGCGCGAGCATGACACACAGCAACCTGATACCACGGACATGTCCGCACACGTGAGTCCGGATGTGCGAATGGACCATAATATCTTGAAAAACAATACTTAATTTATCACCTGTCATCCTCGGTCACTTAC